ATTCAAATATCAACGGTTAAATATATGAGCAATACAAGATGTTTTATTAAAATCTTAAAATTAATTTAACATATCATTAAAAAGAATATAACAATAGACGGTTCACCATTAATAAACATCAGTTGACACGGAAAAATTATTCTCAATTTGCAATATTGTTAAGCAAAATAGATAAGTTTATTTTATTATTGTATATTGAGGAAGATTCTGTGAGACATTTATTGTTATATTCTTTTTAATGGCATGTTAAATTAATTTTAAGATTTTAATAAAATATCTTGTATTGCTCATATATTTGGTCGTTGATATTTGAATTGTTTTTATATGTCTTTTTCTTAGAGTATATTAAATTGTACTACTATAATCATTAATTGTTTAGTAATAAAACCTATAGAATTAATAGATAAATGATAAATTAATATATTTAAGATTATCTTGACAATTAAATAAATGAAAATTAAATAAATGAAAGATTTGGAATACCAAATAATTTATCGATTTTTGCAAATATTATTTAATATTTCCAGTTAAAAAGATTTTTGTTAAATAAACGATTAAAACATATCAGGCTGCTTTGTCCTGATGAAGTGAATTGCAATATTCACAAAACGTTGATATTTAATAATGAATCTGAATACGGAGATAATACGTGAAATGCATAACTTCTGTATAAAAAGTACCCGCGGAAGTATTAAAACATTATTTATATGTTATCGGAACAAAATGTATTTATATATTTACAATGAGAGATTAATTATATTTTATCGTATTTTCTAATTAATTAACTTTCCATGTTAATTGAGAAAGATTTGTTTGCATATTTAATTGTCATACTACTTAATTCAGTATTTGTATATTTTTAATTCCTTGACAATCGAGAATTTACTTTCTCTGTGAATGTTTAGAGTTTTAATAAAAGACAGTTTCGCTTCTCTCGAGTCTAGTAAAACTGGCTGCGTTATTGCAGACGTTATGAAGTGGACAAAGAAAAGAATAAGATTTTGGAGTAGACAGAGATAGATGTGGCAGAATCTCCATGCTTCGGAGAAATTAATACTACTTCTATCTCAGCGCCAATTTACCATTTTCTCCTTCACTCCTATCATGCTCATCGTATTTGCGCTGCTTTCCGCGAGTTGAAAAGATACTTTGAAGTCCGATTTATCTTTCTGTTTCAATTTTGTTCGTTGCCCTTTCGTTCATCGTCGTACTAAAACTTAAGGTTTGAAGACTAGCAAGATAATAAGCAAATTCGTGGTATACTTTAAGAAATGTTTCCGTCCTGATGAAATACATAATTGAAATAATTACTAACATATATTACATTATAATCATCATCATCATCATCATCATCATCATCATCATCATCATCAATATCATCATTAATGTTGGTTATATAATATTAATTACAAGATTATAGATTTGTATACATATATACGTTATAAAATATATATATATATATTCCAAAATAAACCAAACAATAATTTATGTATTTTGTACAGAAAGTCGAATGCTTTTTTTTTGCAAAAAAATTCCTTTTTTCAAAAAAGCATTGATCTTTTTTATTTCAAGTCATTAAATTTATTTATATAAATTATAAAATTATATATATTAGATGTACTAAAAAGAAATCCATTATTTTTGCATGAAATTGAATGGAAAAATAATGGATTTCTTTTTACTACACCTAATATATA